AGCAACGATGTCTCTGATGAGGGTAATGTTCTTCAGTAGTTTTAGTTTTTTGTTTAGTTTTTTTCTCAGTTTTTGAATACTCGTATGTTAAATTGCGGTAGATTGAAAATTGTTATATTCCATGGATTACCTGTTTCACAATTCGCGCAAATCGCGCAAATCGCGAAAATCGCGCAAAAAGGAGCGCGGACTCTGACATCAGCCTTACTGTACTTTCTCGACCTGATAAAAAATGCTATAGCCCTGGCTTACTTGCTACAAAAGAAGGTTGGTCCATGGCAATGAAAACGCTCACATTTCCTAGATTTTGGGTCATATTAAAAAAGAGTGGCAAAGAATTATGAAAAAAAAAACAGCAAGCTCAATGGAATTAATCACGAAATGGTGATGAGGGTCAGAGATTTGGGCCATCAATTAGATTGAACAGACAGTTTTCAACAAAAACTAGAGCGGAAATCAAAATCCATTCTGAACACTAGAACTAGAAATCAGAACCCGAAGGTGACCGAAAGTCGCGAAAACTTCAAGAAGCAGTGAAAAAGGGGAAGTTGTCATGTGAGCAGTCACTGATAGTTGTAATACTCCAACAGGAGACGTTAGTTTTAAGAACAAAAAACATAGAAGAAAAATACTACTTACACCTCTTTTCGTCTGACAACAGACAGAAGCTTAGGAATCACCGACTTTTGGACGTCAAATTTCGAATAGAATCTAGAAATCGAGCCATAGAAATTGAAAGTAGATGAAGCCTCCAAAATCTACCTTTCATCTGACAGTAGAACTGTGAAAGCTTCAAAAGCCTTCGTGCATATGGATGAATCCGCTGAATCAAGGTTCGAAATGATCCATGACGCCAGTGGAGTATCTAGTAACATCGGCACACAATCTGTCATTTTTAGGCAGATTCCAAGAAGCGCTGACCTCACCTAGAAACACTACAGTGAAATAAATTGAAAACATAGCCAGGTGCTATGACTGACCCACCGCTGGGATCCCTTTAGTCAAGTTCTTGATAACCGCCGTTTGCTTGAAGAAACTCTCTAGAACCTCTTTGAAATGAGGGTTATTAGAGTCCGATTGTGCTAAGCGAGCAATGACTAATAAGCATTGCGTGGTCAGACGCGATGATCTTTGCTCAGGAGAATCTTCACAGTCATATCTTAACAGTTATAGAACGCTTTTTACACTAAAAGTAAAAGTGATTCAAAGTAAACGTATGACAGACCTTTGAGGTTGAACTAAGGCATGGCGCCCAGCTATGATTTCAATGGCGAGCTTCGCCGTGTCGGCAGCAAAAATCGACGTCGCCTGCGTCGCCTTTTCGCCAGGGAAGTTGTCCGAAAGTACTGCTTCAGCTTGGTTCGAGACAGAAAGACTGGTATCGCAAGTTGCAATGAGTACCATAGGCATAACCTGAGCATATGATTGTAATTACGGGGCAATCATGCGGAAAACGACTACTTAGAAATAGCCCACAATTTTTAATTGTTTTTCAGCTGCTTTTTTCAAAGACGAGATGAAAAAGGAGGTCACTCGCAGGGATAACATCCGCACAGTAGGACTTCCATCCTGAAAATACATAAGAATATTCCGAATAAATGCGAAAGAAATGTTAATAAAACAAGAAGCATTTACTGGTCTGTCGGAAGGCAAAGATATCAAAGGCTAATTTGATCGATACATTGGCCATCTTCGAGTGAAGCGCGCTCATTCCAGTTAGGTAAGAGCCACCCAGTTATGCAATGATTCAAGTCCCTTTGGTTAAATGCTCTAACTATTTCAGGTGATTAATGGCCCAAGTGCTGTCAATTCTTCAAAACCAAGGGCAAGGAAAGTTCACTCAGTCGCTGACGGATTGAATGCATGAAAAGTGTCGCGACATTCCCCAGTCACAACTATGGTCTCTAAAACCGACTAAAAATCACATCAATAGTACTTCAAACAAATGAAAGCGAGAAGCTGAAGCTCAAACAATCATAAGAGGTAAAACCTACCACGATCAGTTTGTCCATTCCGGTGGCAAAGTGATTATAACAAACTTCTAACATTTCTCGATCTTTCTCTTTTAAGGCATGTGAGGAGTTCTCGCAAAGCCTAGGAAAAAATACTTGTTCAGAATCATCCTCCTCGAAAGCCATTGAGGGAAGAGAATTTCATGAACGTTTCAAAAGATGCTCACCTTCTCTCGTGTTTGTGGGTCCTTTTTCGATAGCTTCCTCATTATTAGGACTACATCTGGATCTAGCTCTCTACAAGCTACGCCTGCCTTAGCCGCAGCTGCCACTTCGAAAACGTTGGTGGCTCCACTGTCGAACCCAATGAAAGCTGTCGAGAAACCTGAGCGCTCAAGAAGCGCCGCTGCATTCGCGCTGCTTGCAGCCTAAACTGAAGATTGATACATTTAGTCACAATAAATGTAAGAATTATATCTTTCTTCGTCTTATTTACTCCAAAAATGGGCACTATTCAACTATTACAACCCCAAAATCTCAAAATTTTAATTTTCGTCGAAACTTCGCCCATAGGGGTTATCGATGCCCTGATTACGAAAATGACATTCATTTTTGACGTTGGCGCCAGTTTGGCGCCAGGGCTATTTTCACCAAATTCGCTGTAAACTTGTATACAGGGGTTATTCGGGGTCCTGATTACGGATATGACATTCGTTTTTGGCATTTGCACTATTCAACGCATATTTCCCGTTTTCTTGGGCTCTCTCACTTGTACATATTACCTCGGACTGAGCTTAGGAGGAGGGGGACTCCTACGTGGGTGAACCAGGCAACGTGTGGCAAATGTTGAAGCGTATAAGATCACAGGATGAGTGATTTACTCACTTCGGAGCACTCCTCTCCCCAAAGGCTTAGTCCTGATCGCGAGCTAATCAGTGAGAGGGCGCAGACGAGTCGAAAATAGGGCCAAATAGCGCAAGCGGCAAAATGAATGTTATATTCGTAATCAGGACCCCAAATAACCCTGTATACAAGTTTACAGCGAATTTGGTGAAAATAGCCCTGGCGCCAAACTGGCGCCAATTGGCGCCAGATGGCGCCAACGTCAAAAATGAATGTCATTTGTTTTCGTAATCAGGGCATCGAATAACCCCTATGGGCGAAGTTTCGACGAAAATCAAAATTTTGAGGTTTTGGGGTTGTAACAGTTGAATAGTGCCCCAAAACGTGCTAAAAATACTTGAAAAAAAAACAAAAGGAAATACTACAAACCTTTGCATTTCCTTTTCTTCGCTGTGGTTTACTCATTCAAAAGAATATGTTCAGTGATTCAAAAAATGGTGTGAAGTATACAAAATTGTGATAATAAAATAAAGGCAGAAAAGCAAACGGTCGTCTGAATGTTTTGGTCGTAGCTGCGGTCAGTATCCAGAATTGTGCGACATTCAAATTTTCAAACATTCTAGGTTTTTTTGTTCCCCTTTGTTTTGAAGGCACATCTTCACTCTCAATAATTTGTGTTGCTTCAGCTTCTATGACACAAGCACAGCCTGAGAAGGATAGCCATAAATTGCCAGATGACTACTGGATTTTTGAGGAGCTGGGTTAGTTAGTTATTATTTGTCTTTCTGTTCATACCCATTTGTTAGCAACTGTTAGCATTACTGGCTAAGCTTCAATTATGAGAGATTCTTTCACAAGGAAAGTAGTGGGGATTGCTCATTGTATAGGGGTAGCAGGCATTCGAAAATTGCCACAATCTCCATGCATGTGGAACGGTGAAACTCCAGTTCGGGGGGGCCACTCCATTGCTATCTTATCCGTAGTACTAGAGAGCAGTTCTTTGGGCTATCGAACACTACGGATAAGATAATAAGTGAACGAC